GGGGGGGGGTGGTGGAACCCCGGGGGGGGGGAAGTTTTGGTGGCTCTGCTATGTATAGGGTTTTGAGGGAGGGAGAGGGAGGGAGGGAGGGAGGGAGGGGGGGAGAATTCCTGGTTGTGTGGAAGGTAAGTTAAGTAGCCGTTAGGGTTGATTTTTAAATAGTATGGGATAAAATTTACTAGTTTTTTAAGTACATACCAAACAATTTATAAATTACATGATAATAGCTTGTTCTTATAATTTTTTTTTTAGGAAAATTTATCCCATAAAAAAAACAAAATAAATTACAGGAATTGTGACAAATAATTCTACCACACACCCTACAATTCACGCAAAAAAATAAAAATAAAAAATAAAAAAAAACTACGAACCGTTTGTCGCTAGATACAACTCACTCAAAAAACCTAAAAATCACTATCGTGGATATTGGGAATATCTAAACAGTCTCCTCTAATAAGAAGAGAGAGTTCACGTGGAATCTTGACTGAAAAAATGAAATCTTGCTTCTCCAATCCTATTTTGGCAGCCCAATTGGCGTATTGATTTCCTTCTCGATGAGTAAATAATCAGTGAACCTGCACAATCCTAAGAAAAACAAATATTTTTTTTTAAAATTTGAATAATAAAAACCCAATGATACTCTTTCTTCCTGGTACAATAATTCCAAAATTCCAAAGAGTCCATCTCAATCTCAATCTTTCTCCAATCACAACTAACAACTATAATAACAGCTTCCGCTTCAGCACGAATAGGCGAAGCCGCCTCAACAGAACCTGAGAACCAAAATAAACATTTTTCTACAAAACTACGACACACCCCATCAATATTAGTAAATTAAATTAATTTTTGCTAGGTGTGTTTTGTAAGAAATTTGACACAATTTGATGTGCTATTATCTGCTTGAGTTTTGTGCTTTTTTTATTTGCATTATGTGTTCTTGAATTGCATTTAAAATGGTTTAATGTGAGAATGTTGCTTATGAATTTTAATGGAGAGAAATGTATTGCATGAATACTATTTGCATGTTACTTGAATATCAACCTCTATAAATATATAGGAATATTTACATACATACCGCCCAATTTTTACGTATTTATCTGACGCATAAACTTCAATTTTTGCATACATGACACCTTGCTTGTGCATGAAATGGTATATCTCACTTATTAGAAGTTATAAATGGTAGCATTTCTTATGTGATATGAGAGATTTGGGTGATATATTAATATAAAAATTAAAATTTATTTGTTAGAAATGTAAATACATAAGAATTGAGTGGTATGCATGTAAATGTCCCTAAGATAGATTGTTATTATTATGACATTTTTACATATAACAACTATCCAAAATTTTTAATATAACCAAAGTTAAAATTTTATATTTCAACCGCCCAAAGCTTTAAATATAATGGATTGAATCACCCACGTTTCAAAAGGGAACAAAGATTTTGGGGTTTGAAATGTAAATTTTAAATTTAAGTGGCCAGAATGAAAATATAAATTTTATATTTAAAATTTTGAATGCTTGAAATGTAAAAATCCTATTATTTATATTTAATAAGAGACAAAAGGTTTAATATTTATATTTCTTCTTATTGAAGCTTTCTAAGTGGCTTCCTCCATCATAAAGCAAAGAATGATGAGCTCTCAGAAAGGAAAAAATATTTACTCAGGAGTACGATGCATCAGTACTCCAATGAGGGGGTGCCACGTAGGCAATGGTCCCACCGTTGTGCTTACGTGGCACCCCCTCATTGGAGTACTGATGCATC